TTTCCAAAATTTGTCATCCATGGGAATTGAACCTTAGACCTGCCACTTGAGGGTTGACAACCTATCCACTTCACTAGATCACTACACCCTTAAGCATTAGCAATAATATAACCAAAGGATAGTATAAACATTTAATAATCACTGTGCTAGGGTTAGCTTATTATTGTATTACAAATAATAATTGATTATATTTCTTTTCTTCTTCTAAAAATAGTCATATATAATAAGATTTTTAATTACAAACTTATTTATAAATAAGTTTTTGAATATTTAGCTAATAGTTTTCAGATTCTTTAACTGAAATAGCAATAGTACAAAAACTACAATTACTATCTTTAATTACATTAGTATATGCTAAGAAATGTTTTTGTATAAAATATAAAATATTTGTTTCATAAAGTTTGAAAGATATGTGTTATTAAAATTTTGTTTTAATAATATATATTAAACAGTTTTATTTTCAAGTTTTAAAATATTTAAATTTTTTTTGTTATATTTTCTTGATGTTTACTCAAAAGTAATCCTTGTTTAGTACTTGATAAATAGTGCTTTGATATTATCTTTTGTGATAGTTTAATAGGTTCAGGTTGTAGCATATTTGTTACTTAATTAAGTTTATTAATAAATTTTACTTTAGTAATATTGTTTGACAGTTGCTAAAAATTTTCTTAGCTTTTACAAAAATATTATAAAATTCAAAGTTAATAATAGCAGACTCTGAAGAATATATAGACTCTATAATGTTTAATCTTTCAAGAAGCTATCATTTATTAATAATCAAAAAAGAAATTGGACCATTTAACAGAATTATATATTTGTAAAGCAATTTATAGTTAATTTTAGTTAAACATTTACAAGTTTTAGTATTTTCATATATATTTAATTCTTTAGTTATTTCTTGCATTCTTGTAATATTCTTTTAATATTATCAATTGCCTATATTGATATATAACCAATAAGTTTACTAAATTTGAAATTATGAAGAGTGAATAAATCAATTATTATTTTATTAGAACCTTGGCATATTGATGCTTTCAAATATTGTATTCACATTGTTTAGTTAATTTAATAAAAAATGTCTTCTAAATTACTAGTCATTTTAATTACTTGCTTGAATACACTATGAGATGACTTAGCTCATCCAGTTGTTGAAATTTTTATATGCAGTATTGTTTGGTATAGATAAAGATCTATATTTGTTTATTTTTTAATCATATTTTAATATATAATATAGCTTTTTTTGAATCATAAACTTCTCAAAAGCTTTTTTAATTCTTCTAATAACAGTAAAATTTTTTTTATCAAATATAAAATAAAGATCTTTAACTTCTTTTTTAAATATTTTATAGTTATCTTTCTTTTTAAAAAGTTTGTTACAATTGGTCTTTAGGTTTTATTTCAAAAAGTGCCAAACATATAGCATTTTATTTGTTTATAAAAATACTTTAGATGTATTATTTTGTAATGCTTGATCTTTGTTAGACATAAAGACTTCAGGTTGACAACTATATACATTATATATATTAGTTCAAAGTATTTACAAAAACCATATATACAACATTTTACTTTCATCTTCTATCCAAGTTATCACAATTTGGTAAGATGCCAATACTTCTTTTTTATTGCTAATATTTTTAATATTGACAGCACTAATAAGAAGATACTTATAAATATTTGTTTTGTGAGTATTATCTACTATAAGAATTTCAGAATATCTGCCAATATATTTTGTTGCTTTAGTATAAAAAAAAATATGAGTTAAGTAACTCTTGACTGTTTTTGAAGATACAACTATATATTTGTATTTCTCAAAAAGTTTTAAGAGCTTTTGTATAAAATTATTATTAGAATTTTTATTTAATACAAATCTTATATAAGTATATTAATTTACAATATCTTTTAAATGAACAATCCCACTATTACTAACCTTATTTATAGTAGATGTAATAACATATATAGATGCATTATTATTATATAATTTTTAAATAAGATATTTTTGGTTTAAATTTATAATATGATACTAAAAAAGCATTGCAACTTCATCTAACTAAAGTATAAGTGATTATGCTTAAGTACAACCTTCATAATCTTCTATACTATATTAGCATTTATAGCATCTGTATTCAAATTATATTTCATTTTAACAACTTTAATATATGCAAAACAGCCTTTATACTTGGTTTTTTTTTTTCAGTTATATTTCAGTTATTATGTTATTCTCCATCCTTGGTACATTGTAAGATAATAAAAAATAATTTTTTTCTATGTCTGGTAAGATTACTATTTCTTCTTGAAAAAGCAAATCTATTAACCTTAATAGCTAGTATAATTACATTTTCAAAAACTTCTAAAGATCCAAATTTATCTACTTTGAACATTATAAGCTCTATTATTGCTCATATATACTAGTTATTAAACTTTTTCTTAAAAATTTAATTAAGATTAATAAAACTTTATATTGTTTATATTTAGATAAGTTATATATAAAACAAATTTTATATGTAATTTTTTTTTTGGTATTAAGGTGAGGTCTTGCTTATATCTTTATTAGTAGTTTTAAAGTTAGTAACTACATAGAGTTACTATGTATACAAAGTTATTCTATATAAATGCTA